TTTGGCTGTGCTGAGAGCAGGAACGATTGTTTCTGAGCCTCATTTTGTGAACTGGATGCCTGTCTTGCCAGATGAACTGTTCTCACACAGGGCTCCCAGAGCTCCCGCTCCAGGCAGCGGCTCTCCGGCTCCCTCCGTCCCCTGCTCCCGGCTGCTCCCGGCCCCACGGCAGCTCCGGCATTGCCCTCTCCTGCTGGCCTTGGGCTGGGCACAAAGAAAGGGGGGAGCAGGGAGGGGAGAGGCTGCTGTGTCCTTGGCTGGGGGTCCCCTGGGCTCTGCTCTACCACCCCGGCGAGTGCGGGTAGGGAGCGAGTAGCAGATCTCCTTGTAGCGTGTTGCCTTCTCTTGCCCCAGGTGGGGACAGCGGACTGGGTCTGGCCTGGGCCAGCCTCCAGGTGTCCTTGTGGGGACAGAGGGACTGACCTGAACTCCGGGGCAGCATTGGGCATTACCTCCTGCCTGCAAACTCCCTGAAGCCGCTTGGCCACAGGCAGGCAGGGAATTGTGAACACTAATACAGACTAGAACAGTGGCACCAACCCCGGCCAGCTGAGCCAGTAGCCTGAAGTCTTAGCCTTATTTATTTTAAAGATGGTAGGTCTGCCCTGGCATACCCCCCTGCCTGCCCCTTACCCCCACCCTGTGCCACCAGCAGCGGAGCAGGGACCCTCAGCACCCCTGGGGCCTGGACCCCCCCCCCAGCTGGGGCCCTGTTCTCTCCATCTGGTTTTTCTCCTGTCTTGCTCCCACCTCTTTAGGGTTGTTGGTTTTTTTTCCCAAAGTTAAAGCAATATTCTGGGGACTCTGCAAGGCTGTATCATATCCAGTATTCCTGTGCACCGGTCATTGCCAGTAAATCACGCCTGTATTAAAGCAAACTGGAAGAGGGGGTGGTGCGGGGCGGGCAGGAGTGGCTGGGGGGTGTGGGCGGAGGGGCCGTGCTGTGGGAAGGAGCCTGTTGTAAGGAAAAAAAAAAAAAAAAAAAAGGAAAAAAAAAAAAGAAAAAAATTT